CATTTACAATAATTGCCATGAACTGTAAACGTAAAAGATTTTCGATAAAAAATGAATTTTAATAAACATTGACTGCTATATGTATTTTTTAATGTTTCATAATAAGCAAAGCCGTAACTGCTCAGAGGAAGGGGCTCGAATTAATCTTTATTGAATGTTCGAGCCGAGTCGATACATTTTTGATTGCAATTTTAAAAGCCGATTACCAGTTGCTAGGAAAATTATCACACTTGAATTATCTAGTATATAAATGAAATGAAGTTAAAATAAATAATATACCACGTGTAAAATCTAACATACCGAATTTAGTAAGCGCATAGGACTGTAATCCTTGTACAAACACTTCAGAAATAAGAGGATGCCTGTGCCCAGGAGTTGAACATATATAAATTAGACTATAAATTGACTTTTTTACTTCTACCAATAAGCAACAAAGAAAACTAAAGAGGAACATGCACCATAAATCCAATTAATTTCATATTAACTTAATATAATGTATGTGCTATATTTCCCAAATCCATTATTCATGTGCTATTTGGTTGGAGTATCGTGTCCACAAGGATGGTCGTTAGTCAAATTAGGTCGATTCAATAGCGAGGAAGTGCACCTTGTCAAGTAAGTCAATTAAGAGTGAACAATATTGCCACTTATATCAACATTATATACTATAAAACACCCATTTAAGAAAACTGAGTACCCTAGTCAACAAGTTTTACTAATGACTCTATGTATTAAGTTGTATACTAAACCACGATTTAGATTTTATTATATAGTGAAAGTCATGCGAGAAAGTTTATTTCGGGGTGGGTCTTACACTTACAGTCGGGCACCTTCCTAAAGAGTTGAGCTCCCTCCAGTTCTTTGCAAATATGCACTATCATGAACCGTTTCGTTTGATAACGAATTATTTTCAAGGAAAGAAGAAGTATTTCTTTTCTTTAACACACAGCATATCAACAACCTTAAGCCCACTGCTAAACAAAGATCTTCCCAGCTCAGCCTGTGAGATTTGGGTACGACATTTTAGAGTACAAATAACGTAACCAAGCTAAAATAACAATAACTTCATTTGAGTTTCAATTCAAAATAATCATTTCAAAGTAGATTTACTATATGCACATATCAAGTAGAATTTGAGCGATATTAAGTTATGTTTAGGTGCGGCTGAGTGGCCAAAGGGCCTTGCAAAATCCGGGGACATTAATATAAATTTATAAATTAAACGGAGTTTACCCATTAAGTCGTGTAAACAATGTTTTAGTAGTTCTTCATCCATTACACGTAACACTTATATTTGATCTCTAGATCTCTTTTTCCCTTAAAAGTCTATCACCCTGCGACCAAGGGATAGGTCAGACAGATTTCCTGGTTTCCGAAAAGTTTTACGGAAATCCAAATTTTTCAAGGTAGAAAAAATTAAATGTCACTTAGGCATAAAAATAATGGTGAGATTTTTATAGATCTATAAAAATCCTCATTGTGTAGCTATCTATTTAGCTACTGTAATTTTCACTTCTTGTAGCCATGTTGTTATTTAATTTTTATTTTATCCATTCAAATAAATGACGGTTCATTATACGATAGATATGGAAAGATCTTATGCATTACGAGTACGTACGAAATAATATACAAAATATAAAAGATTTCATCCAAGGAGCATCATAAACATGAGCTTTTAACGACTATAAAAAATAAAATAAGAACTAAGTATTTGCCAACGTATTTACGGATACAATCTGCCGGAAATTATAAATACATATATATCTATCACATCTCACCGAAAGTACAGAAAAGGCCTTCAATGACCTCAGAACCAACAATATTTGGATAAAAGGATTGAATAAGATTGCCAAAGACCCGAACAAACGCTTAGATATCATCACTACAGCAACCAATATTTATAACACTACAGCGATATGAGCCAAATAACTTCAAGTCAAAACAATAATACTAGGCATGGCAGTGAAAAGAACATTAGATCAATAGATGAAACAGAAATAATAGAAGCAATAAGAAGACTAAAACTAGAAAAATCCCCTGGATCGGAAAACATTACATACGGAGCATTAAAGACAGCACAGACAATCTTAACCACACCACTAGCCGAGCTATTCAATCTAATATACCAAAAATCTGAAACACCTACACAATGGTCCGAATCCAATATTATAGACCAATAAGTTTGCTACCGAGTCTATAGAAGTTGTTCTCCGCCATAATTAACACATAAATCGGTCCTATGATTAACGGTAGACAACCTGTAGAACAAGCAGGTTTCAGAAAGGCGCTCTCTACATTAGACCACATACACGCCCTTGAGTTAATTATAGAGAAGTATCAAGAGCAGCAAAGACCCTTATATCTCGCATTTGTCGACTATCAAAAGACCTTCGACACGGTAACACACAAGTATATAGGATAGCTGAAAGAGCAAGGAGTCGACGAAGTATATACAGGGTTATTTTGCAATAACCGGCCAAATTTGCAGAAAGGTTCAGAATAAGTAATATAGGTTAATGGTGAAGAAAAATTAATTAAAAAATATTCTCAAACATTCTGTCCCTTTTATCTTTTAAATTCAAAATGCGTGGTAATGTATTATTTTAACTGATTGTAATTCATACATATCTAACGCCTAGGCGTAGTTGTTGCCCATTCAATTTCAATTAAAAATAGAAGTCTTATTTACTCATATTTTTAAGAACGGTAATAATGGTATATATTTATTTATTTATTTATTTGAACTTAAGTTTAAATTTTTTCTACTCTTGGAATAATAACCCTGTATAGAGCATATATAACGACAACATAGGTAGAATAAAGTTAGAAACAAAGTTAGAAAAAAGTTTATCATAAAAAGGGACGTAAGGTAGGGCGAAAAATATTTATAGCGATTCCTGAAATCATCATTAACAAGCTAGACAGGAACAAACTAGGAATCCAAAACACCAACGCAAATCCAAATTAACAATTTTTGACTAAGTACAAAACTAACAGCATAATTTAATATTTAATTTAACATTCAAAGTACTATCTAAACAGTGTAAACAAGAGTGAAAAATATACACACATTAATTTTACGTTGTTGTTTTGCTAAATGAACAAACAACATCGAAAAGTGTAATTCATCAAACTGACAATTTACACCTTTTTTTTTCACTGGATTACGGTTGGAGATATCAGTCTTTGTTTAATTTTTGTTAAAATTTAGCACAAATAAATAACTGACATCATATTGTTCCAAAGTAATTTATCAGCAATTATTCATTAATTTTATGTACATATTATTGTATTGTATCATTATCAAAACCATTGATGAATTAGCGATATTGTATCAATCAACTTGCTTGGATGCTTGGCTGGTTAACCTACTATCTAGACAGTTTTATGTCAGCGAATTTTTAAATTAAGTATTGGATGTGTTTAGTTGTTATAAAATAAATTTAGGGTTATTAGAGGATGGTGCAATTTTTGTCTCAAATGCAACTTTTGTATGCTTTTCTATCCTTTTCATAATAACGAAGGAGGCTCTTATTCTTCATAATTAGCCCGAAAAAGTCCACTGTTGGACATGGGCCTCTTTTGTTTGACTTGACAGACAGCATGATCATCGCAACACCAGATGTCGCATCTTCGACAACGCTTCCCAACCCTTGAATATTCCCAGATATTTTGCATAGAGCATAAACTAAATGGTTATTCACCATTAATCGAAAGCCTATCTGAAACCCATAGTCGTTTTCTACGACAGCCACTGAGTGAAATGGGGTGGTGGATTTTCAAGGCAAAGAGAGGTTCTAGAGAAATCATCATATCTATATTGTATATCTATAACAGCGTTACTGGTAAACCCAAAAAACTAATAAACCTAGATTTACCTAGGTTTTGAGTAAATTGAGAAAAATTTATAAATTACATAATTGTTCTTGGTTCTGGTACTGGTTCACATCTTTTAATCCGTGCTTACGTATTTTTGCTAAATCTGACAAATATAATAGTTATTTTAATTATTACTTGAACATCTCTAATAAAGCTTGGTAAACCTAGGTTAACTAGTACTTTAGGCATTACCCGTACTGGAAAGACCTTTGTTACATGTTGACATAAAGCTATTGAAGAGATGTATACTAAAGAAAAGAGATACCTCTTCTTTCACTGAAAATAAGCTGTTATCAAAACAAACGGTATGCGATAGTGTATATTTACAAAGGGATTTTGAGAATTTTTCCTTTTTATTTGCACAAAACGATAGCTAGTATTACTACTATGATCATGTGATTGGTAAATTTAGAATTTAATCTGTTGCTATCTGCTGTGCTATGACTCAAATTCCTGTACCTGAATTAAGAATATCATCGAATATATTAGGAACTGAAAAAATTGTACCACTTCTAGTAAGTGCTTCAGTATTTTCAAGCTTCGTATGGATGTGTTGTGATTATTCATGTTACACTGACGCAATATCTAACGCATGCAATGTATTAGATCAGGTTAGGCTGTTGCTGATAAACTTGTAACACTTATAATAGGTACAGGAATAGGTAGCACATTCCATTTTTTCTGCCGACTTCCAAAAAGGAGACGGTACTCAATTCGACTGTATTTTTTTTATGTGTGTTACATCATAACTTTGTACTGGGTGAACCGATTTCGATGATTTTGATTTATATGAAAGCAGATAGTTCTCGTGTTTGTTGGTTATTGAGTTATTCTTAAATACTATACTTATATTAACGTCACTTATATTGAAGTCAGCTGTACAAAATTTTTAATTTTAAATTATTAATTATTAGTGTCAACTAAGTTAACAGTTTACCTGATGGGAAGTTCCTACTATAAATTATAAACATTGCCTTACAAACTATACCTACATTACCGCTCGTACCATCCTATCTATCATCATATTCGATCTCGCGCTGCTGTTTTTGTCGGTTCTGTGTTAACATATTTTAATACGTGTGGTAACTACCCCCTGAATAAAATATTAATACGAAAACATAATGACTAAATGTGATATCTGCAACAAAGTTATAACCACCAAGATACCTGGACTGGAATGTAGATCTTGTGGTAAGGTGGTTCATGCTAGTAAAGCTTGCTGTGGTCTAAACGCGAAGCAACTTTCTGCGCTTCGTAATGCGGACAGACTAGACTGGACGTGTGACGAATGCCATCAAAATACACCTAACAGAAAATCATCCTTTATTATACCGGAAGAAGATGATGAAGATGATGATGTCGTGGTCTCTGACAAAAACTCAGGCAACTATATGATAGACACAGAGAAGTTTTTAAAGGAAATCACAGCAGAAATGAAAAAAGTTTTAAAAAAAGAACTACAACCAATCGAAACATCTGTGAGCTTCTGTTGTGCAAAAATTGACGATCTTTTCAAAACTGTGGAAGCTAAAAACCAACATAGTCAGGAATTAGAAAAGAAGTACAACCATCTACATAACGGAAAAACTCATCTTGAGCTTGAAATGAGTTCACTGAAACAATATCTACGTAATATTGAACAACAGCGTCTAGATAATGTGATAGAAGTGATAGGAATCCCTAAAGCTAAAGACGAAAATCTTGAAAACATATCTCTCAAGCTAGCTGAGACACTCAACATGGACAGGACGCAGGTAATGAATATTACACGTGTTGAAAGTCGAAATATTCAAGACGGAAACATCCAGTTGCAGCTCAAGCATGTAGAACACGCAAGTTTATGGGTGCGAGCCTCCAAACAGGAAGAACTAGTGGTAGAACAAATCATTCCTGAGGCTCCCGTGGAAGTTGCTAAGATGAAAGTGACCATGCGACGCGCCCTGACTAAAGCCAATAAGTCATTATTATGGCTAGCACAACAAAAATTAAGACCGGCCTACAAATATGTCTGGTTCCAAGATGGAAAGGTACTACTCCGTAAAGATGACAAAGCCAAGCCTGAAGTCGCCCGAAGCGAAGCTGACATTGAGAAGCTCTCAGCACAAACAAAAATAATCGGCCACAGTTTTAATCGGTAATAGATTTCAAAATTAGTCACCCAGGTTCTCTTTTCCGATCATCAAGAAATATTAGATTGTGCTGATATTAATAACTTTTGTAGGCATATACCCCCCATTTATAAAAACCATCTTAATATTGTCCATATAAACGTAAGATCGTTGATTAAAAATTTTTGCTATGTAACACAGTTAATTAACTCTTCTAAAATGATTATTGATATTTTAATCTTAAGTGAAGTAAATATAAATGATAATATAGTTTCTATGTTTAATATAAATGGCTATAGAATGCACAGTATGCTACGTAAAAATAGAAAAGGCGGTGGTATAATTCTATATGCCAGAGATGTCCACTCATTCGCGCCAGTAAGTCACTCATTAATATACTGTGAGACTATTATTGGTAAGATCACTACGCCTTACAAATACTCCGCTTACATCTGTGCTGTTTATAGACCACCAAGTCAGAGTAAGCACCTATTTGTAAAGGAAATAAGTAGCCTACTATCAAATTCTATGTTTTAACTATGTGACACTTATCTCTTGGGCGACGTTAACATAGACTTAAAAACATGCGACAACATACGAGACTACTACATTAATAGTATGTCCGAGTGCGGTCTAACAACCGCGATATCGGATTACACAAGAATTGAAATACGCGGTAATAACACGACTCGCAGCTGCATAGATCACATTTTTACTCGTACGCGCTCGTTAGACCTTTACTCGGCTGCGCTCGGAACTGTAATGGCTGACCATCGTATGATTATACTCTCGTGCGTAGGATTCGACCAAACACAAATACAGAATGATACAAAAATAATCCAACAAATTAATAATTATAAAATTAAAAATTTATTTACTAATCTAGATTGGACCGAAGTAAAAGATATAGAGTGTCCAAGTAAAATTTACGATTGTATCAAAAATAAATTAAATGGTTGTTATAGTGATTCAAAATATATAAGAAAAATAAATAAAATTAGTAAGAGAAATAAATATCCTTGGATAAATTGTAGAATTGATAATATGTGTAAAAAGAAGAACAAATTATTCATCAAAAGGAAAAATGATTCGACAGACAAATTAATAAAATTAGAGTATAATAAATTAAGAAATAAGACACGTAAAATAATTGAAAAAAGTAAAAATACATATTATATAGAACAAATAAATAGTAATAAAATGAATCTTAGAAATCTATGGCAAATTTTGAATACACTATCTGGTCGAAACAAAAACTCAATTGATGAGGCAATATTAAAAGCATTTAATAAGAACAATATTGACACAAAATCAATAGCTAATAACTTTGCAACAGAATTTAGAAATTGTGTAAAAAAATCTTACCGAAATGTAACCAAAGGCTTCTAGATGAATTAGAATATATGTTCCCCGAAAATAAATCTATGTATTTCAAAAGAGCCTCAACCAAAAGTGTGATGAAGATTGTGAAAAACCTTAAAACCAATAAAGCTCCTGGTATGGATAATATCCGATATGTCGACATACAATCTATCTCTGATAAGATGATAGGAGTTATTGTCAAATTAATAAATAATAGTATTCATCAAGCAAAGTACCCAGATGAATTAAAAATAGGTATTGTGAGACCGATTTATAAAAAGGCAGTCACAGTGATTATGCCAATTACAGACCAATTACTATCCTACCAGTCATTGACAAGATAGTAGAAAAATACGTCTGTAATCAGATACAAGACTTTTACATTAAAAATGACATCTTATCTAACTCACAATATGGTTTCCAACCTAACAAATCTACCTCTAAGCTGCTATCAAAATTTACAAATGATGTAAACAAATTTCTAGATGACAAAAACCACGTTATCCTGCTATTCATAGATTTCAGCAAAGCGTTTGATACGCTTCGACACGATACGCTCTTGACAAAACTAGAGAATACCGGTGTACGTGGCCCGATTTTAAAGTGGTGCAAAGACTACCTCTATAATCGTAAATATAAAGTTAAAATCTGTGATGAAGTTAGTGATGCTATCGATGTTACTGAAGGAACAGCTCAAGGTTCGGTGCTTGGACCCTTGCACTATTTAGTATATGTTAACGATATGGAACATGTCGTCAACCATTGTTCAGTTTATCAATACGCGGACGACACGTGTATTTTGGCTACCAGCAAGGACCTAAAAGAAGCAGCACAATGGCTACAACAAGATTTTACACAAATATCCAAATGGGCACATGATGCGGGACTTGTCTTGAATGCAAATAAAACCAAAATCATTCACGTTCACTCAAACTATATAAAACACAACACGGATTTTAAGGTGGTTGCTCACAGTCACAGATGTCTGCACAAATCAATTTCATCTAGGGCTTGTAAATGTGAGGCAATCGAACAAGTAACGCATCACACTTACTTAGGATTAATTGTAGATAATAGATTTAGCTGGAGATTTCACATAGATTCTGTCTGTGACAAATTACGAGCTATATTGGCTAAATTCTACATTTTAAAACCTAAAGTACCATATAATATCCTACTCAATATGTATAAAGCCTTAGCTGAGTCAATTATATCATACGGAATTTCAAGTTATGGACGAACCTTTAAGTCATATACCGAAAAAATATATAAACTACAACTAAGATTACTTAAACTTATTGTACCTCAAAAAATAAAACAAAAATATAAAGATAACTTATTAGACATTTTCAAATACTGCAATATATTACCCATGCAGATGAAATTTCACATGACCCTCTAATTGAACAATTTAATAATAAAATCATCCAAGTGCCCATGTCCCATAAAGTAATATTAACAAGAAATATTACCAAAGAAAAATTAAATGTGCCTAGGACCTCAAATTACTATGGTAGGCGAACAATAGAATTTTTAATTCCAACTCTTTTAAATAACATCAAGCAAAACATCCAAAAAGAATTAAACACAAAAAACTATAAAGAAAAACTCAAAAAATACTATTACGATAATATAAAGAACTTTGTCTTATAAAATGAATCATAATTATAGTTATTATTTAGATGCTTATTAGTGAAACAACCTGTATATAATTAGTAGTATGCACTGTCTAGTCTAGTAGAACAGGTTCCACAACAAAAGCAATGAGCGCTCAAGTCGGTGGCGCTCAATCCCGGAACGTCCCAAGTAAAAATTGCAAATGGGTGCTTACCACTTACACAAAAAGGAGGTATATTTTAATGTATATTTTTGATTACTGTTAAGATTAACTAATTATTTAATGTTAAGCAGTGCGGTAGTTGCGAATGTGACTACCAATACAAACCATTTTTGGTTTAATGGTACAAATAAAAAAAAATATGTATGATAACTTTTATCAATAAATAAAAAAAAAACTGTAAGAATGCTGTTTGATAACAGAAGGTAAAAAGTAGCCTATGTTTTATACTTTATATATTATATGTATTTTATACATAATATACACATAAAACAACATTGTATTAAGAAAACACTTTATTAATATTGTGCAAAATGTTATTCAATAAAGATTTGTAATTCGTGGACATTGTACCCGGAATCGATCCCTATGTCAATATTCAGCGATTTCATTAATGAAACTTATTATATATAATAAAACCTCTAAAGGAAAGTTACAGGGGCTACAGTTAATATTGACATATTCTATTATTAATATGACAAAATTCGCTAGATGAGTGATGAAATTAATGATTGTCAGTGTCGGTTACATTTTTCTTTCATTTTTACGTTTGCAACAACTGAAAAGTAAACTTTAACAATTACTTTATTTTTAAAAGATGGCCTTATTATTTTAACTCGACAGTATAATTTATTTTTGTCTCTAAGTAAAATTTATTTGCAATAAATCCATTCTTAATCTACGTAAATATAGTCTCAAATATTTACTGGATTGCTTTGTTTAGCTGTAAGCCACAAATTTTCACAATTTGAAACAAATCAATTAGATTAATGGAATCTAAACAATTATTTAGGTGCGGTTAGCAGACGTACGTCCTTCTGTTTCAGTTATACTCGTAGAGCAAGACTTGGGCAAGACTAAACAAACAAACTGAACGACGCTGCTAATAACATTAATTAGTATATTGCGTTTGTATTCTTAAAGATGTTTATTTAGTAATCTAATACGAAAATTAGAGAAAAAACATCAGCCTTTTTTAATGTAATAAGGATTTACACATCCTTCGGAAGATAACCTAAATGATATTGATTATACCTTTTATATCTACATTTAAATGTAATTACTTGTGTCCAGCATGCATTACAATGTTCATAATTCAATGAATAATATAGAAACGCATGTAGGCACACTGGCCGTATAAAGCCCTCCGTGAGCGCCACCACCTGCCAGACCGCCGTTCCCGCAGACGTGATGTAAGTGTAAAGCATCACCAATAATTGCATGATTAGCACGGCCAATTGGCCGCAGAGCGTGTTCGAATCTACCGCTCACCTCCGAATGAGGTCCCACGTTGCGCGACTTTCGGCCGCAGCCTTGATATCCTCCTCAGATTCTCCCTTCAGCTACCACTCGCATGAGATCGACACATATGCTCCACCAACCAATACAATGGCAGGTATAGCCAATAGGCAGTTATATGATAATAGTAATAATTCGCCATCAGAAATGGTTTGTGTCACTGACGTTGAGTATATGCACTTTTCGATCATGTTTGTCTCATCCACCAAGTTACCTTCAATTATTCAAAGGTGGGAACTTTACTGAGAGATATTATTATGTTGTTATATAAAACATCATGGAGGTCAGAGAATGTGCAGCCCCGTAATGAAGGGACCCGACTTGGGCAAAGCTACTTAGGTTGTGAGTCAAACCAAGACGCAGAGAGCGTCATTGAGAATAGCGACCCGCCAAACAACCATCACAAAAACACAATGCTGCAAAACACAACAAGCATCAATACGACTATCATCGGGCTTATACCATCCCAAGGTTCCCCATAAAGTCCCAGCAGACATCACCACCCGCATACCTCCATCAACCAGAACCACAA